GAAGAAAGCGGCCAATGAAGCCCTAATGGCCCAAGCTGCTGCCTGATGGGCTTTGGTCAGAGAGTGCTCTAACCTCTTGTCCTCGGGCCGAAGACCTTCGTCAGGAGGGCCCGTAACAACAACCGGAGTTGTGAGAGCGACCACTGGGGGATCCACCATGGGAACCTGCAAAATAGAGGAAATGTCAGAAGCTATATTATACAGATGCCTGTCCAGTGCATTAGGATTAGGCCCGGAAACTGGGACTGACCACTGTTGCATGACAATGTCCTTGAACATCTTTGGGCTGGGGATTTCCTCCGCCTTGAATGCAGGCTCCTCGAACAAGGAAACTGAAGGGCCAGCATCATCGCCAGCCGAGCCCAGCTTGGGCTGAGGAAGGTCTAGTCGGGTGGTGAGTTTGGCCTTGTGAAGGAGGGACCGGAAGACTTGAGGCTTGAATAAACCGACAAATGATGGCTGATCTGGGGCCAGATCCTCATCATCCGACAACCCAGGTTCCCCAAGGTCCTCTCCTGCTGTAGAATCCTGACCAGTAGAAGCCCTAGCATAGTTCTGGTCCTGGGTGTGGTCCAGATCCACCGAACCTTGTGAGAGTAGAAGGGCTCCCTGCGCACTAGAGTGTTCTGTTACCCACGAGCTGGTTCTGTGCTGCATTTCAGCAGCGATGCCCTGCTGGACGGCTTCCTGAATAAGGGCAGCTAAGTCAGGGGTGGTGGAGGGTTGAACCCCAGCACCCTTCGGGGGAGGTGCCCAGCCCATGAAAGGGGAGCCTCTAAAGGTAGCTGGGGTGCAGGCAGGTCCTGAGCAATAATCTGGTCAGCCTGGGCAGGCTGGGTGGATTGATCCCCCTGGACAGTGGGGGCAACCTGGATACGTAGGCCAGGTGACAACTGAAGAGGGCCAAAAAGTCTGGCACTGGCCTCCGCCTGCCCTGGACAGGAAGAGGCAGGATCCCCATCAGGGAACCAGGCAGGAGGGGGAGCCTGAGTAACAGGAGTAATAGGGGCCCCCTGGTCCACCAAAAGTGCTGGAGCCGAGGAAGGGATCACAGGAGAAGAGTGAAACTCCCTCATGGAGGCCTCCTTTATAGCCTTTTCAATAACCTTCTCCAGGGCCTTGTGCCTCTTGAGCTCCTCCTTTTCCCCAGCCTTAAAGGCCTTTGAGGGCCTGGATGCCTTAGATGAGGAAGCCTTGCTCCGTTTGGAAGGCCCAGGTTCCCCTGAGGTGAGGCTAGAATAACCTCTTTTAGGCTGCCGGCCAGTAGAGGTGGAGGCCATCTTGAAAGTTGGAGATGCAGGCCTCTAACATGCACAAGGGCGAATCAAAATGGCAGCCGGCAAGGGTAACGCCCGAAAGTGAAGGCTGATACAAAATGGCGGCCGGCAAGGCAATACTAGAAAGGGACAGCCGATGCGAGGGAAGGCAACGTCCCCGCCTCACGAGTCACAGGCTAAGGGAAATGGAACGGCCTTACCGGCTGCTAGGCTTCGATCCCGAAGGTCAGTGGTTGTCAGTGCTGCTGCTAGGCTCTGCGGCAAGGCAGCATTGCAGAACACCAAACAGCGGCAATTTAACTCGAATGAGAGCCGCCTCGCAATGCCGGCGTATGGGCTGAGTCCAGGGACACCAATCCCAGACTCTACTGGCCGGCAGAGTCGCTGCTAGGAAAGCGGCTGTCAGCAGGCTCTGGCCGAGGCCGTTCGTGCTGGAAGGCAGGACCTCAACTGGACAGCCAGGAGGTACTTGCTGAAATCGCTAAGGCGGTCCTCAGTGGTATCGGACGTGAGCCCTTCGCGCTGGTAAGAGGAGCTCTACCAGATCCCTAGGAGCCCTCCAGAAGCTAACAAGCTGGAACACAGGAAAACTCAACCACTTTTTGGGAGCAAAAGCAACTGCTAAGCAGTCAGAAAGGGTGAGCTCAGGAAAGTCTATCCAAACAGATCGACTGAATCTGAAATCTGGGAAGCAGGAGGAAGAGGAGGAGCTTAACAAATTGCAGACTCAGTCTGGGACAGATGACAGAGTTAACCCATTCCTGACTGCTGGCCCCACACTCCAGTAGAACTTGTTCATTTGTACCCGGATGACATACTGTTTAATTGAAGATGGAATTATTATATTAAAAAATTAAAAAATTATTTTAAAGAGAGAGAGAGAGAGAGAAATGCCATAAATAAGGGAGATGGATTAATACATAAAAAAGACAAAAAAGGAGATATGGATGAATTAAAGAGAAATGAATTGTTTTTTTAAAAAAGTATTTTAAGGTTGTAAATGTTAATTTATCATTCATAAGTATAAATATAATATTGTTGTTTAGGTTTTCTTAACTCACATTAGGCTTTTGAACATCTCTGTTCTGACAATATTATGCACATATTCAGATCTGCTCCTATACAGAAGAGTCAAGCCTCATAGCAGCTGGGGACTCTACATGTCTTTAACCTCTACATTATGGAACTGAGACTATTTGTGCCAGAAAGTAAATCTCCCTTTGTCTGGAATAGCTGTTTTGAATGCAAAGGGGAAAAAATGCATCTTGAGCCTGTGTTAAACACCCACCGTGGCCACACCCACAACGACCATGCCCACAACAACCACGTCCACCCTGGCCCTCCGAGGTCAAACACAACCCTTATGTGGCCCTCAATGAAATTGAGTTTGATACCCCTGGTCTACAGATATATTCCCATCCTTTTCCAACAAAATGCTTAAATAAAAAAATTAAAATGCTACTAGTTTTGTGTTGAAGTGTGGAAAAATATTATATAGGAGTATAAGTGTAATTTATATTATCAGTAATATTAATTTTTTGAACTCAGCAATTAAGATAAATTTTATAATTTGTATTTTAAAAACTACTGATATCCTCATATCACGCCACATTTGGCCCTACGATTTATTGAAAAAAACCAGTACTGCACATATTTTCATTATACGGCATAATTAAATAACGTAGCATATTAACAGCTAAATGTCAAAAATTGTATTTTAAACTGAGAGGGCATAACAACAGTGCTTTTGTATCAGAAGGGAGTTGTGCTTCTGAACGTTAAAAATAATTCTGACTAGATAAATATTATTTAATTTTCAATTAAATTAAATTCAATGTCAATCTGAGCAATGTTCAGAAATCATAAATACTATTGGCTGCTGTGAAAAAGAGATCACTTGGGTGCAGCATACACTAAGGACTGTATCAAACATATAGCAATCTACATAATGTTATTACTAAGTGTATACTTGAAGAGGAATTACTATGCAACCTATCCCCAACTGCTGATGAACGTACATATCTAAGGACATTTGCTATATTTTGTCTCTAATCAGAGGGAAAGAGAAAGAGACAGAGAAAGAGAAAAACTTATTAGATATAAAGTAGTGGGTAAAACATTCCAAATAATTTAAGTATCTTAGGGAGGGCAGGATACATTGCTTCAGGTCTCTAAAAAGTATTACTATATATCAGGGGTGAAATGCTCCCGGTTCAGACCGATCGCCCGATCCGGTAGCGATAGCGGCGGGTGGTTCGGAGAACTGGTAGCAAAAATCCCTGCGCCCTCCCACCATGCCCAGCTGAGCCATGTGATCATCAGAGGCTGTTTTTTTTACTTTTAAAAGCATTTTTTCTACAACCTCTTTGGTCAAAAAAATGCTTTTAAAAGTAAAAAAAAAAAGCCTCTGATGATCGTGTCGCTCAGCTGGGATCGTCAGAGGTTTTTAAAAGCATTTTTTCTACAACCTCTTTGGTCGAAGAGGTTGTAAAAAAAATGCTTTTAAAAGCCTCTGACAATCCCAGCTGAGTTGCCTGATCGTCAGAAGCTTTTAAAAGCATTTTTTTCTGCAACCTCTTCAGCCGAAGAGTTTGTAGAAAAACCGCTTTTAAAAGTAAAAAAAAAAAAAAATTGGCCATGCCCACCCAGTCATATTAACCCACCCCCACCAAACTATGTCCACAGAACATAGTGTGTCTTGGTTTTTTTTTCTTCTTTGTCAACTGAGCCCTGATTTTTTCCTTCTAGCCTATCAGCTGGGAGTTGAGAGGCAGCAAATAGATTGGGGGCGGGGCCAGGCAGAGGTGGTATTTACCGGTTCTCCGAACTACTCAAAATTTCCACTACCGGTTCACAAGAACCGGGGAAAACCGGTAGCAATCTACCACTGATACTAACAGGGAAATACAATAAAAGAATTCAATATTTAATGTTACATGTAATAATAGCGGCTAGAATTATGTATGCACAAAATTGGAAAAATGGAAGTATACCTACAGAGGAAATGGTAATAAAGAAAATATTAGAATGCGCTGAAATGGACAGGTTAATGATGGAAATTAAAGACAAAGGAGAAACAAAGACAAGGAGAGACAAAGGAGTATTATTTAATATGGGACCTATGGTACAATTGGCTAGATAATAGATGCAAAAGTTGGAAAATTAATGATGAAAGAGGATCAATAAGCTAGAAACAATTACAGGTACAAAGTTATACATAAGAATACGTATTGTAAGCATTATTATTATTAGACTGTACATAATTGTAAATCAAAATATATAGAGTGATAAATGTATAGAGAATTATGTTATAACCATGGAAACAATAGATATAAGTATGTTGTGTAATATCAAGTTTCTTTTTTTTCTATGGACTATACTGTATGAATAAGAGAAAAATGGTTGTAATTAGGATATATAACATCATGTATATTTAAAAATGTGCTGATACAACTAGTATATCGCTGTTGCAAAATTGAAATTGTGATGAAAAATAATGTACAATAGAAATATTTTTTTAAAATGAAAACAAAATATGTGTGCATAAAACTTGTTTATTTGATGCCAATTTGCAAACCTTAGAATCTGTATTTTACTGGCTTGTGTAAGCGTCTAAAAATAATTTAACTTACAATGCAGTATGTTCAGAGAATAAAACAGGATGCATAACAACAAATAAACAATTTTCTAATTTCTAAATAATATATTTGCCTTAATACTTACTTCAGTCGGTCTTCTTCTTTTTTGCGGAGGGAAAAATCTCGTTGGACCACTTGAATAAGATGTTCAGCTTCATCATCAGTCAGGTCAGACAAGTCTAGCTTTCTTCTCATATTTAGTTATCTTCAGTGAGCTCTGTTAACAAAAGTATCTAAACCCCTGAGACAAAGAGAAGGATGGAAAACAGAAAATAATGCAATTAGTGTATTTTTAAAAACTTTGACAATTATTTAATTTCATTTTGTTCAGGAATGAAGACAATAACTAAATATAATCCACATATTAGTGAATTGTGCTTAGAACAATTTTAATTTCAGACCTATATCAACTAAGATGTTAGTTATATGATTAGTTGTATTAATATATTTTGCAGAAATTGAAATACTTATTGCTTAAAGAGGTGAAAGAAAACTGTAAAATAGTATTTAAAATCTGCATAGCAGGAACAAATAGGTACAGGTAATCCTCAACTTACAACAATTCATTTAGTGACCATTCAAAGTTACAATGGCACTGAAATATGTGATCTATCACAGTTTTTCACATGACCATGGCAGCATTGCCATGGTCATGTGATCAAAATCAGATGCTTGGCAACTAGTTCATATTTATGATAGCTGCAGTATTTCAAGGTTATGTGATTATCCTTTGTTACCCTCTGACAAGCAAAATCAAGGAAGAAACCATATTCACATATCAACCATGTTACTAACTTAACAATTGCAGTGATTCACTTAACAAATATGGCAAGAAAGGTGGTAAAATGGGTCAAAACAACTGTCTCACTTGGTAACAAAAATTTGGGGCTCAACTTTGGTTGTAAATCAAGGACTACCTGTACACATTTCATTCTCTTACAGCACAATGTTTTTTTTACAAATTTTCTCTTCATTATAGAATGTATCCATGAACACCAATAGAAGTCAGAAAATACGATGAAAATTCCTTAATTTCACAACACATGAATAGAATTAATCATAGTTTAATTAGGAAAGTTCAAAAACACTAGAGAACACTAGAGAAATAATGGAAGCTTGGCATTCAGACAATTCAGCTCTCAACAAGCACAGAGATAAACAATATTTACATACCACTCAAAAGAGATAATCAAAAGGCCAAAAAGTAAACCAAAAGATCAAAACACTTATTAGCCAGCAATTAACACTCAGAGAAACAAAGATTAACATCCAGATTAAGCATGTGCGGAAGTGGGGCAGGATGATGTTTAGTACAAATAATGGGGCGTAGTCTGCACATGGGGTAAAGATGCAGAACTTCAAAGTAAGGCAGCAACTGGGCCAACCTTGGAGCATGGGGTTGGACCAACGATGACAGAATTTGGGGGGGGGGTGCAATTTTCTGTGCCAAGCCAGCACCCACAGCACCAGGGCAGCTGTGCTGGGTGGGGACAGGAAGGATGCCAATGCAGAGGCGGCCAGCTTTATGCTCCTCTGGGCAAAGCAGGGGGGCTTTGCACCAGGGATGCTGAGGGGCCACCTCTCTGGCCCAACCCACCTGAGTGGTGAGCAGAGAGGCAGCAGCCTAGGACAGAAGCCCGGGAGGGTCAGGGAGGACACTGAAGCAAGTGGGTGTCCTGCCTGCATTGCCTGTGCCAGCTCACCCTTCCCCACCAGAGCTGGAGTGTTGCCACACTTCAGCAGATGCCAGTATTGCCCTCTGGCGGGCCTGGGTAGCTGCTGGAGATGGGCCTATTTCAGCAGCTGGAGCACTTGTGGGGTTCTCTTGTCACAAGGTGAGGTGCAGCAGGTGGGGGGATGGAGCTGTACATGCACCCTAAACCTGCACAGCTCAGGGCTCCTGCAGCCAGACCACTCCCCAATCGGTGACCTTTCCCCATCTCTTCCCTTTCACTCCTCTCCCAAGCCGGACTGCCATGCTATGGAGGATGGGCAGGGGAGGCTCGGTCCCCTTAACCAGCTCCCCTCTGCCATTTCGGAGCCAGGCGGGAGTGATGGCAAAAGGCCTCTGTTGCCACTGCGTATCTGCCGCATCTGCTGCTGAAGGGTCTTTGAGTCCCCACCCCTCCCGCCCTGCAGATCACCTGCCCAGCGGCAGCTGCCACCACCTGTTCCCCATTTGCCACCTGCATTGATGGTTTCAATGGAAACAGCTCTCATAGGCTCTCTGCATCATCCCTGGGCTGGTGGTTTCGGCTCCCTGGCCCCCTTCGCAGCTCTTCCCACACAGCCACAGGAGAATTGGTGGCTGGAGTGACAGCAGCACAGAGCACATCACACACGCATCAATCTGGAGCCTGTTTCTCAGCTGCAGACGCCTTTCCTGTGTGGGGCTTTCCTGTGCAGGGCTGTTGGTGTCACCGCTCCAAGGTGAGTCAGTGGAAGACCCCACCTGAAAATAAAACCGGTGCCTTTTTTTGGTGGCAAAAAAATATAAGACCGAGTCTTACTTTCAGGGAGACACGGTAGTTTGTCTTTTACAGTAGGCTTTTTGGTACATTGGGCTATAATTTCTTTTTGTGTGAAGACTGATGCAAAGAATTCATTAAGCAGCTCTGCTTTCTCCCTACTGCCTGCTTCTTCCTTGCCATCTTCTCTCTTTAGTGGACCTACGGTTCCCTTAACTTTTTCTTGTTATTAATATGTTGAAAGAAACTTTTAAAATTATTTTTGATTTTTGTTGCAAGTCTTGGTTCATTCTGAGCCTTTACTTTCCTGATTTCATCTTTGTATGTTCTTGCTATCTGCTGATAATTAACCTTAGTTATGTATTCTCTTTCCACTTTTTGTACTTGTCTTTTTTGTCTTTGAGTCTGTCAGAGAACTTTGTGCAGTCATGCTTGTTTCTTCATGAATTTCTTGTTTTTCTTTTTCAGTGGTATTGTGCTGGACTGGGCTTTTATGGTCGCATTTTTCAGAGTTTCCCATGCTTCTTGAATTGTTTTCCCCTTTAGGATTTTCATCCATGGAACCTTTCCTAGGCTCTCTCTGTGTTTGTTAAAGTCAGCTCTTTTAAAGTTTAAGACGTAAACTATTAAGACTATTAATTTAAGACATTAATAGAATATTTTCTATTGCTTATGTTTGCATTATATTGAATTCCAGGAAGACGTGGTCACTTTCACCCAAGGTTCTGGCAACTTCTATTCTTATCACTTATCACTTCTTATCACTTCTTCTCTATTATTAAGAATTAGGTCCAGTATAGCTTTACTTCTAGTTCCCTCCTCTAACTTCTGGATGACAAAGTTGTCAGCTAGGTTGGTTAGGAATCTGTTTGATCTCCCACTCGCTACAGAGTTTGTCTCCCAGCTGATTATCTGGATAGTTAAAATCTCCCATTACTACTGTGGTATGCTTCCCAGATACATTTGTTAACTGGTTGGCAAGAGAACGTCTATTTCTTCTGATTGGTTGGGTGGCCTGTAATATATACCTATGGCAATGTCACTTTTCCCCCCTTTTAATTGACCAATATACATTCTGGAGGGGCTTTATCTTTGATCATGTGCATTTCTGTAGATATGCACTTATCCCTTACAAATAGTGCAATTCCACCTCCTCTTTTTTGTAAATGTGTGTGTGGGGGAGGGGGTTGAACAATTTGTATTCATCCATCAGTACATTCCAGTCATGGGTTTCATCCCATCAGGTTTCTGTAATGGCATACCTATCCTCATTTGGTGAATATGAAATGGGCAAAGACTCAGCTGCCCTGAGTCTTCAGAGAGGGGTGGCATACAAATTGAATAAATAAATAAATAAATAAAATACTCTATGGTATGAATACTAGTATATGTTTCTTTTGATTCCCTTGACTAGCAAAAACTATGAGGATGGATTTGATAGGTAGTAAATCAGGGATGAAATCCAGCAGGTTCTGACAGGTTCTGGAGAACCGGTAGTGGAAATTTTGAGTAGTTCAGAGAACCGGCAAATACTACTTCTGGCTGACCCCAGAGTGGAGTGGGAATGGAGATTTTGCAATATCCTTCCCTCAGGAGTGGGGAGGGAATGGGGATTTTGCAGTATCCTTCCCCTGGAGTGGGGTGGGAATGGAGATTTTGCAGTATCCTTCCCCTGCCATGCCCACCAAACCATGTCCACCAAGCCACACCACACCCACCAAGCCACGCCCACAGAACCGGTAGTAAAAAAATTTGGGTTTCGCCACTGTAGTAAATGCTTCTTTAACATGGAATAAAATGCTATTGACTTTAAAATTGGCAGCAATAATCTAATTTTTGAAAAAGCTATTTTCAATAAACAGAACTAATGCCCAGATCCAAATTTCTCTTTTGAGGAAACAGCATATTTTGATCTGGTGAATGATCTCCACTAAGATCTAGAAGATGGGAGACTTTTAATGCTAACATCCATGGGATCCTACCCAACCATTTATGGGTACTGGGAGTTCAGCACACCATTTTACAATTTTTTTTAAATTTTATTTTACCAAAAATTTATATGCTGCCCTTCTCCCTAAGTACTCAGCGCGGCGAACACAAATTAAAAATATACAATAATAAAAGATCAAAAAGATTAAAACCCAGTTAAAACAACGACAATCAAAATAAGAAAAACTCAAGGATCAAGGTCAACCCATTTGTTGAAACAGCCAGGTCTTTAAGTCCCGATGGAAGGAGCGGAGATCAAGCGCCGTCCGAAGCTCGGTGGGTAACTCGTTTCAGACGACAGGCGCGCCCACAGAGAACGCTCTACCCCTGGACGTCGCCAGCCAGCATTGTCTGCCGACAGTACCCTGAAGAGGGCAGCCCTGTGCGATTGAACAGGACGGTGGGAGGCAGGTAAGAGATGGTCCTGCAAATACCCCGGATCTACGCCATGTAGGGCTTTAAAGGTGAGTACCAGCACCTTGAAGCGGATCCGGAGGACCACTGGTAGCCAGTGCAGCTCGTGTAGAAGAGGGGTTACACTGGAGTAATGGGGAGCTCCCATAACCACCTGCGTGGCCGCATTCTGAACCAGTTGGAGCCTCTGGGTGCACCTCAAGGCAGCCCTATGTAGAGGGAGTTGCAGTAATCCAAACAAGAAGTAACCAGGGCATGAGTGACCGTGCAGAGGGCATCTCTGTCTAGGAAAGGGCGCAACTGGGGCACCAGGTGAGCCTGGGCGAAGGCCCCCCTGGTCATGGCCGTAAGATGGTCTTCCAAAGACAGC